CCTTCGTTGTTGCTACTATCTGTAAAGTATTCGCAACTATTTCTTTAGAAAATCACGTACCTTCGTTGTTGCTACTATCTGTAAAGTATTCGCAACTATTTCTTTTAGCTAATCGTTTTAACTGATCCAGAACTAAAGAAAATCCTTGATACAAGCCATGGCAATAATCTTGAGCTTTGAAAACAACACATATCAAACTCAAAACACTAAAATTAAGCAAGTTAATGCACTCAAACACTAAAATATGAATAACTATTACTTGTACTTTCTGTTTTGACTCCTTTTCCGAGCAATATCAACACATGAGTCTCCATATTAGCGCGATATTTTGAGAAAAACAATTTCACAAAAATTCACTCTCCATCTTGAATAAATTGAAATTTTCGCGGGTTTTGGTAATTACCACTGTACAAATATCGAAGGCTCATTAATAATACTTGCTTACTGGGGTAGGCTGATAAGGAAATCTTCCATCCTTAGAAACATATTCAAAGAAGACCATATACTTAAATCAACTCATAAAATAGATAACTGTAGAACTATTAAAGAATTCAATTTACTGATTTTGTATTCCTCTTTCCATGAAGGCTTATGCTTTACAAGTGGAATAATGATACCCTCCCCTCCCCCTAAAAGTATTTACTTAAAATGTCTGCCCGAACCAGTCTCTTGTCCAAGCTGAGCTGAGTTATCGAGTTTCTTGAAAAGAATTTCTCGCGAAGATGGGTGAAGTTACTTTGGAGTATTCCCATGTTAAAACTAAGTCTGATCCTAAAGATCGAGGCTGTCTAGTTATTGGTAATGTAGTCAATCTATCAACGGTGTCTTACGATGATTTTGCTGAAAAATTACAGACAGGCGTTGATGCCAAGGTAAAGATCATCAGCTATTTTGAATATTTAGTGACCTTTCAATATTATCTTATCACAAGACTGAACAATGTAAATCATGTGGTTTTATGAGATTTATCAATTTTATTGTAAATATCAGTTTATTTTTAACGATCAATCTCAACAGAGTAAAGTTCCACTTACACTAGATTTATCGACTTTTGTGCTTTGTATTCACAATAATTCTTGTATATTATATTGCACTTCGATCTACTGTAACATGATATTCAGTTTTAAAGGGAAGACCCTAAACCCCTCCCCAAGCAAGACATAGATGGGACCCAGGCAGTCCTTATAATATAATTCAAGATCTCATTGGCTACAATACAGGGTTCCATAAATATACAATTGTTATTTCCAAACAATGTCTTCTAATCATGGCTGCATCTATTAGAATATTAACAGTGTTGATGTTAATAGACTTGATTCAAAATTCCAAGTACCCAAAATCCCCTTTGGCCTTGTCTACAAGGATTTAAACCTGACAATGTCAGTTTGGTGTATCTAATGTGGGTGTTATCATACTAGGAGTCTAGGGCTTCCAGTCCTTGTAAAATTGCCACATAATTGACGAGATATCACAACAACTATGAAAATCATATATATTTTTTCTTTCAGATGTTCAATCTTGTTTTGAAGTCTCTTGGAGATTCAGACAGTTGTAATGTGTTCCTCAATCAAGTTGTTGTCTGTGCTCTACCTTCAAATGCAAGCAGACATAATTCTACGTGCCATCCTCATGTTTTGAAACTCTTTGTTAAGTCAAACTTGCCATCAGGAAATGCATGCATTGTGGTAAGAACACAGGGATTTCCATAGCAACTCAGTATAGAGGTCTATAGTATTTTTAGTTTTTGTTACTCTTTTTCATTTTCATTGTAGGTGGTTTGTGAAAGGAAGGAAGCTTTTGCCTGTGCATGCACCATAGCTAGGTGTTTCCCCTTGTATTCAACTAAAACAAACCCCAAAACACCAAGAAAAATCACAGTTGAATTCATCTTGGTTGATGGTCCACCTTTGACAGAGGAAGATACCAAATGCATGACGACTGCAGCAGAAAGTGTCCGCTTGTCAGCAAGAATTGTAGACACTCCCTGCAACGACATGCATACTGACATATTTCTTGAGGTAGTCATTCATGAAGTATAGTTACACATTCGTTATTCACTAAAATCATTTTCATTTATTCATTCAATCATTCATGTATCTTCATATTTTCATTCTTCCTCCCATTCGTTTATGCATTTATCCTGTCTATTTATGTCTATATTCTTTTGTAATTCACTCATCCCTACTTTCTGTGTATTTAGGAGGTGAGAAAAGTTGGAAGTGAACTAGGCATTCAGCCTACCATCATCCAGGGGGAAGAACTTATGAAGAAAGGCTTTGGAGGTGTGATGCTGTATTAATCGTTCTCAAAAATCAAGCATTTCGTTTGCCAATCAGATAATAAAATAGACATGCAGCTAATTAATATGTTTCTTATTCAGTAAAGCAATCAGTCAGTCAGTGTGTTAGTCAATCAGTCAGTCTATCAATCCAGCAATCAATTTAGTTATTGCCCATGTTAATCTAACTGATTATTTCACTAGGAATTTATGGAGTTGGCAAAGCTGCAGTTCATCAGCCTGCATTAGCCATCCTTAGTCATACTCCAGAGGGTGCAAATAGGACCTTTGCATGGGTAGGGAAGGGTATTGTCTATGACACAGGAGGTCTGTCAATCAAAGGCAAGGTAAGGCCTTTCATTAGATAGATGTCAAACTACTTTTGTTTTACAAATGCAATTAATTACCTGTAACTTTGTTTCAATTTTCAGTTTTATGAGGAAGCTCTGAAGGGGTATTGAACAAATTATATGGTCTTATTTCTTTTAGACAGCAATGCCTGGAATGAAGAGGGACTGTGGTGGAGCTGCTGGTATCCTTGGAGGCTTCAGAGCAGCTGTCAAACAGGTTTGTGTCATGAACAAGAGTGTTAGGCATGATCTAACTAAAAACTACCATGAGTTAGATATCCTAGCACCAAAATTAACATTTATTAACATTTAACATTTCTGATTGGTTTAGGGTTTTAAGGAAAATTTACATGCATTGTTTTGTCTTGCTGAGAATGCTGTTGGTCCTAATGCAACCAGGCCTGATGACATTCATACATTTTACTCTGGAAAGTAAGTAATTTTCTTTACCTATATGTCTAAACTTTAATTTCGTTATAAATGTTGGAGGTTATTTTTCTGCAGAACTGTTGAAATCAATAATACTGATGCTGAAGGTCGACTTGTTCTGGGTGACGGAGTAAGTTACGTCTAAATTACTATTATTCTGTAAATATACCTATTAAAAGTCTAAAAATGCATTTCCAAGAATACTGACTCACATCATAGTACATTATGTTTTGGTCATTTTATCTCAGGTTTACTACGCCAGGAAAGACCTTAAGGCTGACGTTGTTCTTGACATGGCGACACTAACAGGTGCACAAGGCGTAGCAACAGGAAGGTTTCATGCTGGTTTATTGACAAACAAAGAATCATGGGAAATTGCTGCTGTCAAAGCTGGAAGAGCATGTGGTGACTTGGTGGTGAGAGAATATTTTGTACAAATTATAACAGTTACTGAGAACAAATTAATACTTGAGCAATGATTATATTTTGAAGGAAAGTGCTTTAATTATAAACCCAACAATACTTTTTTTTTCTTGATAAAGAAATTGAATTGTCTCTAGCTTGAAAAAACAAATTTAATGCAACATCCTAGCTGCAACTTTAAAATTCTTTTTTTATTTTTTATTTTACTATATTTTATGTATGATTTTAAGTGTGAATTGTGTATTGTGACAGCATCCCCTGCCGTATWGTCCAGAGTTACACTTCTGTGAGTTTTCAAGTGTTGTAGCAGACATGAAGAACTCTGTCAAGGTACACATTACTTGGTGCTTGAAAGTTCAAATGATGGGTGATTATTCATGTAAAAAGCAGTGGARCTCYCACTTATCCTGTTCCTCTCTGATGCATTTCTTTAGTTGTGACTAACATTACTTCTTGTTTCAGAATCGTGACAATGCTCAAAGTTCCTGTGCTGGCTTGTTTATAGGCAAGGCACTTCAGTACATTTTCATTGAGTATTTAATGATAGTAAAACCAAATAAGAATAAGAATTATAATTATTTATAATTGTTATTACTACTAGGAGCACATTTGGGCTTTGACTACCCTGGTGCATGGATCCATATTGATATGGCAAGTCCTGTTGAAGCAGTAAGTATTTCCATGTTATCGGAGTTAATGTAGAAACTAGTGCCTACATTGAACCATTGAAAATAATTTTTCATTCACAAAAATACCAAATTCTTGGTTTTGACAGATTAATTCTCCATTTTACAGTTAAATAACAAGACTTATCGTATACTAATGTTAATATTGTTTCATACAGAATGAAAGGGCTACAGGTTATGGTGTGGCACTACTATTGACGTTGTTTGGAAAAAGTAGCTCAAGCTCCTTGTTGCAAGAACTTGCTCCAGAACAACCATCCAAAGAAGCTGCATGACAAATCAAAACTCCTTAGGCCATGTAAACATGTCTAGAATTTTACTTAATCATTATTATTCTGCCTTTATATAACCTAACATCATTCATGCCTAACTTGCTGGGAAAGATCTCAGGGTGACTGTCTTTTTGTCATTATGAATGAGTATAACAATTGTCTTAAATTTATAAAATATGAAAACAGAATGTATTTCTGATTAATATTCTGATTATTATTTAATAATAAATCATTTTCAATCAAATTACAGCAAGTTGTAGCAATATTGCTTTATTTTTATGCAAATATTCAATACAATCTTTAACACATATTGTCATTTTTTTTGTCTATTTGATAGCTCTGCAATACTTTCATCATCATCATTATCATTACACATGTTAAAAAAGGCTTATATTGAATCACATCAATCATAAATTATTGGTCAGATTATAGTCAGTTATACTGTACATTGAGAATCTTGTTTACCAAGCATAATAAGCCAAATAAATTGTTATCAAACACCCTCTTATGGAGAAGGGAGCTCAGTCCCATAATTTATATACTGCAATTACTGCCACTTATTCAGCAAAATAACAGAGAGCGTAGCTCAGTTCATCAATATCTTTGTACTTGTTCAGATATCATTCAACAGAAGTATTTTTTGTGGTTCTCTGTACTATCTTGAAAAGTAAGTATATCTTTGCATGCAAGACAACTTATCAGCATGCAATGTCAGATAAATTCTTTCATACCAACACACAATCATCCCAAGCACACTGGTCTTCTTGCTTTTGTGTAAAGGAACCATATYWAAACCATTTCAAKATGATTCAGGGAACCTTGAAGACTATTGCTGTAAGTCCGTTAGCAAATAGAACATGCAGTGTGATCCAATCCCTCTCCTAGTAATCTGTTAACCAAGGCTCTTGTCAAGTATGCTGTTGTGCCACCTTTGCCTTCAGATGGTGTGTTGTAAAAGCTTTCTCGGGTCTGACAGGAAATATTGTGATAATCAATGAAAAAGTGCCTCTATCAAATCTATGAACATCATTTACTGCTACAAAGCACCAGTTGTTATTTCCTTGTTGCTATTATTCAATTAATAATGCAAGGTTGTGAATACTTACTGCTGGTTTGCCTTGTTTTTCCTGTTCTACATAAAAAATGTTGATGGCATCTTGTAGTATCTGTCAAAAGATAAAAAACACTGCATAACCAAAACACATTCTAATCTACATTGACTATGAATTTGCATGCATATRCACTGAATGTTACTTACTGCATCCAAGTCAACACATCCTTCAAACTTCACTTCTGGATTACGCTGCAATATTGTTGCCAATACCACTATCAACTACAACATCATTAAAACATTGTTTTCTTTAGCTCTAAGAAGTTTTAAAAGTCTACTGTCTTCCTGTTTTTCTAATCTGTATCACTTACTTCAACAATCAGTTGTCTGTGTTCTGGGTTTGATATGCCATTTAATAATTCCTCTACTTTAAGCTGAAAGTTTATCTCGTTTTGCGTCATGTCAGATATTGTAGGAAGCTGTAAGATAGGAAATACTAATTAGTCAAGCAATGTTAAATGTCTATATCAACAGTGCCAAATAGTTTGGTGTACATTTCCTAACTGACAATGGGAGGATCCAGAAATTTGTGGGGGGAGGGGGGAGGGGTTGTGTCCCTCCACTACAGGGTTCCCAGTCCCAAGATTTACCTGGTGAAGGTGATGTTGGCTGACCATGATCCCACCAGGTGAATTACAGAGTACATTCCACACTAAATAACAACAAAAAAAGCCTTTCTTCATCCACTTGCAGAAGAAAAAAAACATAMAAATATAGTTCAAGGTAACTTGCACCATGAACAAAACAAGATATTTGCTCACCTTTATGATAAAAGTCTAATGGAGTTCGATGAACAGCACCATCAAGTTGTCGTTTTTGAAGAGGTGTCCTTGCAAACAAAATAACAAATGAATGGAAAATGAAAGAAAATGTAAGGGAAACAAAATCCACAAAACAGTTATGGATCTCATGCATACATCAATTATTGGTTTATGGAAGTTGTAATTATTTACCTKGGAGTAACATCTTGACCATTAAGCTTGCCCTTTGATAGTAAAACTATTTTGAGTAGTTTCTTAACAGCACTTGGTGGCTGAGCATAAAGAGACTGCAAATTTATAGAAATTGCTAATGTTATATGACTTAACCATTATATGCCCAAACATCTGCCATTACTGCATAATCTGAAGAATACATCATTGATTGAATACTTAGTGGTTTTACTTACACCAAGGTTATTTCCATAACTTAACAGCTGCTTCATGGCCTGGATTATCCATCTAAAAGAAAAAAGGAAAATTGAATAATAAGAAGAAATACCAGCAATCTTGTATAAATATGTTATATTTTATTTACCCAATTCTAATCTTGAGCATTCCTTCAAAAACCTCAGGCATTGTAGCCATGTATGAAGCCAGGTACAAAACCATCTGAAATGTAATCAAGATATATGTTATTAATAGATAATTATTTTATCATTTTGAGTATTGCTAAGACTTAAAGCTTAGAAGAAATAATTCTGACATCATGAGGATAACAATATGTGTACAATGCATTCTGTACAAAAAAAGAAAAATATATTAAATAATACAACTTAACAATTTTTTTGTTATAAATAATGAGCGATTTTACCTGAATAGCTGCAGGAGTCATAGGTTCAAAAATAAACTTTTCTTCATGACCATAAACACCAATTGTTACCTGAAAACATATTGCAGACCAGATAAAGACATTATCAAATATTATCATCAACATCATGAACAAGTGTCACTATAAAGTACTAACAATAGAAAATTGCTGATAAAAGAGCTATTTTATTCATGTTGTCTTGATGTCATTCAAAGACAACAGAGCAATGGTCTCATGTAATAACTCATTCATATATATAATAATGAAGAGGCAAGATCTGCTGTTACTCCGAGTTTCATGCTTACGCGCTCATCAGACAGTATTAAACTCGGAGTAACAGCAAATCTTGCCTCTTCATATAATTTAATTTACAATTAAGTGCTATCTTTACCACTTTTCCAGATACTAATAAGGTTGTTATCCCAGGTGCCAGGCTGTCAACCAGTTGTCTCAGCAGCCCTGCTCCTCGTCGTACAACTGACCAATTCCTATCATAGCCAGCTTTACGGTAGACTTCATCAATGTGTTCATTGATTGTTTTGTCCTGTGTGCGATAATCTCTGCCTTCACGTTTCAAAAGCTCTTGGAGGATAAGCATTTGTCTGGCAACACAATTATAATGTTAGGGTTCATTTGAGATATAGAGATAGCTGTTCATAAAGTCTGTTAGACTCTTAAAGTGCTCTAGTTACTAAAAAATAATTTTTCGTTTTTGTGACTTTTTCATCTAGTCTTGATTACTAAAGTTTGTTTTACTGGTTTTCTTGACTCTAAGTGACAGGTATCGTTATTTAGGTTCACATTATGTTTGCTGGAGTTATCTTAAAGTTTATAAAACCAAAAGGAGAATGGTTGGTACCGATTCAAAGTCTGATGGGCTCTCAGCTCAGCTACTAAGGCTTCACGTGACTTAGTTACAAGGTCTTTAGCATTGCTCTCAACTTCAGACTCAACCCCATGGTCAGTTTCATCTTGTAATGTAAGTTGTCTACTCAACCGACTGAAACGTCTACTATGATCTTTACTGCTGGTTGAAGGACTAGTAAATCTTGTATCTACCACATCTACATCTTTGACACGGTTTTCTTCCAGCTCCTCAAAAGTGTCCTCTGCAGGCCTAAAAACACATTTAARTTTAAACTTTTTATTGCCCTATCTTTCTTCATTTTAAATATTAAAATGGGGAATTGAGTGAAGATTAATAATTTTTGCACTCATACAATATCTACTCAGCTATGCAATATATAGCCTTCACCTTAATTTGTCATCTGGTTGCACAAAGTCCAAGTGTTCAACACATCCAGTAGATATCAATGTCTAAAAATAAAGTTGAATAACACTTTTTTGATAGCTAAAGAATTATTATTTTCATTCAGTGACTGCAAATCATTATAATCACAAACATACAAAAAACATCAAAATTAATGAATGTACCTGAAGTTTACCAAGACGAACTTTGGTATCACCGCATTCACCATTTTTGAAAGCTGCAAGCAACTCAAGCATCTCATGAAAATGTTTGCCTCTGTATTAGTAAGAAATGTGGAGGAATTAATAACCAAAACACATCTCAACGATTATGTGTAGTACCTTTACCTTAAGTTGTTTTCTCTCAACAAGAAACACACTGTTGGTCTGCCTCTCATACTCCAGTTACTACGCACAAAGGAAATGACAGTCTGGAAATCAGAACAATAAACTAAATTGGGTTAAAAAGAGCATTATGCGCAAACCAAATGGTCAAGAGTTAACGAAAATAAATGAATAAAAAAAAACATGATAAAGTCCTCTGCTCCCTCATTCGGCCTATCACTGAATGACTGGCCAGGCAGAGACAGTCACTTAATTAAGTTAAACAACTGTCTCTATTTATCAATCATTCATTGACAGAGTGATAGCTTGGTAAGCTATGTTCACCTTAATCTGATCAATAACAAGAAACATATCCCATGACATGTAGAAGTCTTGTTCATCAAGTAGCTTGGGATAAGTAACAACAGTCTTGCCTAAGATACGATATATCTGTGATGATAAACATGCTTAATATAAATGGAATGAGAAGATTGAATGAGAGGAAATCATGCATAAAACCACAATAAATGTGTCAGGTTATAATTTRCACTAAACAAAAGTYAGAYTGTACCTTACTAGTCCCTAGGGCACCAATAGGTCGTGATGGTCTGCCTAACAAGCTTAGCTTACGGTTGACACCAAGTCGTTCATAGGCCTGAATAGTGAAAGAAGTTTGGAGAGCATAAATATAAAGAAAATAATACTGTACATAAAATTGTATGCAGATAAAGAAATGAAAGCTATTTTCAATGTAAACTCTCCTAGCAGATATATGTCCATATCACCTACCAATATCAGCTGCGAGGGAGGCCATATTTGAATAGGTTCAATTTGCTGAGGTGTTTGTGTTTCAATACCAAAAGTTGAGAGAATTGTCTGTAAACTAAAAAAGGAATAATTACTATAGTTACAGTAATAAATGAATTATGTGTCTGTCAGAGAGTTAACCTTACTTYCTACTTTCTGCAATAAGTGCAACTTGTACAATTAAATCAGTTTCAGCAATCTAAAAGCAGGAAAAAAAATTGTCTTGAATCCTACATAATCACAGAAGTGATAATAAAAAATAAAAATTAAAAAATAAAAATTACAGGAAAGAGGAAAGGGAAAGAAACAGGAAAGAGTTTTCAATGAAGAAAGAAAGTTATCAAAAAGATATATATAATGTTAAAGACTGGTTYATACTACTCTCTCACAGCCATAGCTTCCAGCTTCCTCAATGAAGAAAGCTAGTGGGACATTAATAATGGCTGTGAGGGAGAAGAGAAATGTTCTGTTCCAGGGCTTATGAAAGAACAGAAAAAGGATAAGAAGGGATTGAAGTAAACTGGATAACAAAAGAGAAAGCGAGTAATCTGGAGGCAGCAGTGAGGTTGACTTACTGCAAATGTGGAATATCTATCGTTAGTGTATCCATATCTCTTCTTATGCCTCCCAATAGGGTCTATCTCATTTACATCTAATAGATTCTCAGCTGAAAACACATTGAAATCTATATGAAGCACAATATTCAATGTACGGGTCAGCTCTGACAAATACAATACTATATATTACAATCCAAAGGAACTCCATACCTAGTAATTCAGTCATAATTAACAAAGCTTGACCCCACAAGAAAATATCAGCMRCATCACATGGAAGTCTGACTTGTGAGTGAGGTTTGTTTCGCTCTGCATCAATATAAAACTTGGGCACAAAATAATACTTGGGAAGGACGTCACCAGAATCTTTACTGAGCAGTAAATTATCTTGTAACATTTTTACATAATGCATGGCYGTCTCCTTGTCACGCTTGAACAGAGCTTTGTAAAAAGAGAGGTTATTCAGTACTAGTGTTCAGATTAAAATCTCCTTGTTTGTATCAAATTCACAATTTAATAATCAATGTTTTATTAAGGAATATCTTACCATCCATTGCCAGATATACAAAAAATATTGGCCACTCACATTCTACACCATGAAAAAGCTGTCACAAAGAAAAATTATTTCAAAAAGATACTCTTTCATTGATATTCATCTTTGGGGGAAATCTGATAAAGTTTTTCAAGTGTTTTTACCTCAAGTTCTCGTTTGCCATAATACATTCTATTTCTGTCTTCTAGAACACATTTATATCCATCTTTGATGAAGCGCTTTAGACCATATTTCCCCTATTTATCATAACAATAGGTATCAGTGGCAGTAGTTTGTTTTTGATAATTTACACTTAAATAATATTTCAAACCAACCTCCAAGTTTCCCAMTACTTCTGCTTGTGTTTTATCGCGAAGGTCATTGTCATCAATGGCAAAAGCAGGGAAACCAGTGATGGTTAAWAGGGATGCATCAGTTACTTTAGATGAGGATGCTACAGGTAGCAAGGAATGTAGGATTGTACTGTTCCTRTTGTGTGCATCAGGATCAACATAGATTACAGACGATGAAGTCCCCTTGTAATAATATAAATATGTCAAATGGTGAATGGCAATGATAACATGGAAATTATGATTATGGTAACATACAAAATGCAAACAATTTCTGCGTCAATGATTATTATGATTCATTCAAATCCACTCTCAATATTGTAAAATTAAGTAGGTAATCAATTGATGCCTTGCTACTGCTGCTGTTAGTAGCAACGCCTCAATCGATTACTCTTGTTTCCACATAAGTTTTCTATATTTCTCACATTTGTTTACTTACAGAGTTGCCATAGAGATTGAATCCATTCAGAGTCTCCAATGCAGCCTTTGCCATACCAATAGACCTGATACCCGTATTGATACTTTAATACATATTTACAGAGAGTTTATCTAAAAGTGGGTGAAATTTGCTAGACTCACACTGCATTAAGTTCCTTGTGCCCAGTGTTCTCCTTTGTTCCTCTTTCCCACATCCCATAATCAGGTGTTCTGTATGCCCTCTCAATGTAGTATACAAGATTTTGTACAAAGTTCACTTCATCAGTAGTGTAAATTATCTGAAAAAAAGTCCAGTATAAATAAACCTTTTTCTGCTTACTGTCTCCTCTCCTAGCTGTTATGAGGCCCATTCCTAACAAGGAACCTTAACCATGGGGAGGAGCCTCATGACAATGATATTCATGAATATAATTATATGGATGGAGTTTACCTGTAGGCCAGATGCAATCATTTGAGCCATTGTCAGCAAATACAAAGAAACTGCATCAATCTAAAGACAAATAGATACTGTTAAAGGTACAATGACCAGCAAATGTACTTGCTGACATACTAAAGTGACATAAATAAGCATATAACCATTAAATAAATAAATAAATCAAACACCAATCAATCAAACATCGATCAATCAGTCAATCAACAACCAATCACTTATATAATCAATCAATCAAACATCGATCAATCAGTCAACAATCAAATTATTTAGAAATAAAAGTTGGAATTCATCACTTGCTATGTAATCAAAAAATATAACTCTTGGACTAGCAAGAGAACCATGTTACAGACTCATAAATCAATGCACCTATATACCATAGACATACCTGTAAATGAGGGTACTCTGTGTCAGCATGGTACATAGCATCACCATTATTAACATTAAATATCACATGCAATGAGTTCTCGCTCCTTTGATTCTTCTTAAACAACTCAAGCTGTAAAAAAACGCAACATAATTATGGAAAAAATGCCCAATAGGATCCCTGTGTTCGCTGGCCACAGGGAGCCCATCAGACAATTTAGAACAAACCTTTTTTGATTGTCTCATGAAGCAAAACAGCAAACCCCGCATGCACTTGACAGCACTCTGCTTTAATTCATAGTACCTGCCTTGGTTGTCATCCATATGTCTGGTATAATAGCAAATCATGTCACGTTGATTCAATTATAACCAAGCAAGACATGATAGAAGAGCATCTCTACAAAGGCCAATTTACATGTTATGCACTTGTGATATCACGTCGTGTGTAACAAGTCCTATCTTGTATATTAGCTCTTATCTGATGGACACTACACATTTCATGCCACTGCACCCAGGATTGGAAATAGTATATATAATGTTTTGTAGAATACCTGTAAGCCTGTCCTAATGCCCAGATAGCCATTGCACAATAGATGTTCTCGCGTACATGACTCTCGCATGCCTTTTTTTTATCATCTGCGTTGGTATGTAAAGGAAATAGTCCAATGCTTCCACTCTGGTACTTGAGAATTTGACATTTCACTAAAAAAATGATGCATAAACAATGCAASATCCATAAACAATACAGAATTTAAAAACCAGTATTCATCATAAGCTTGTAACCCTTATAAACAGTGCAAAATCATGCACAGCTTGTACATTTGTAAATAAGTATGCATGCGATTTTCTATTTACTATCATTACAAGCGATGAGAAAAAGCTAGAGTTTAGATATGAGCTTCACACTTCGAAGAAAGACTYAATATGGAAAGAGCATTTTGCGACGCATCGGACACAATTTTATCTGACATTTCCCTGCAAACTACAACTAAAATAAGCTGTGGTGCAAATATTAGAGAAAATTATACCTCTAATATAAAACCTGTCCAGCAGTATCCTTCGCTCTTTGTCATCTACTCTTGTAGAACCTCTCTGCCATTCCATGATTTAAGCAAAATCATATACAGACTGTTTCATCACCATTTTCAAGTACCATCGTCCGCCATCTTGTTATTGAAAGCTTACTTGGCATTATGGGTAAAGTGTCTGAAAAAGGAGCTGTTTCCCCTTCCCTATCCCCCTTAGAAATTTATACTTCCATTGACCATATATGATATAGGTAAAACCTGATTGGCTGTTCTCATTCCCAAGTGGGATGACGTCAAAAATTAACATTAACCGAATAGACTAGCCCAATTTGACATTATATTTTCGATAGTTGCCTAGTTAGTGCAAGGGGTTAATCACAAATGGTCTAGGGGCCGATTAGCTTCTCCCTCACTGGCTTTTTAGTTAGCGCGAAGTTAGGACCAATTATCGGGATAGCATGGAAGAGCCGAAATCTCTAACCGTAATGTAAGTCGATTCGACGCCTCAGCTTCACAGAATGTCTCGGGGGAATCGTCCCAAATTTTCATTTTTTCTTTTTCAGGTCAGGAGAGAGACTGGTGTCGACCCAGCGTTCATCAAGGGTTCGAATCCTACGTTGGGGATTCTTTTTTGTTTTGTTATCATTTTCTTTTCATGCCCGCGTCTTTTTCTTTTCTTTGTTAGATAACTCTTTGGGTTAACCGTGTCACCCTCCTTAAATAAAGTTTATTGTATTGTATTGTATTGTATTGTATTTTTCCGGCTCTTTCCTTTATTCTTTCTCTTTATAATTATGTTTTTTCTTCGTCCAACATAGATAAATTCGATTGATTCTCAATTTTTTTTATTGATTTTCTACATACTACATACAGTCATTTACATCATTTTCATAATTTTCCTCGATTGTAGATTCGTTACCTGTACGTGTAGCAATCACTAATGCTACACGTACAGGTAATTATAAACTACTTATAAATAAAGAAAAACTATCATGCATTACAATAAGGCTTACAATTGTCACAAGCAACCCATAATACTAGCAGAAAACTTGCAAAAGAAGCTCCGCAGTTAATCTTATTATTATTATATACACAGGAATTATATCTCAAGAAGATGCTATATACTACATTTACACGAACGAGCCGTCGTCAGGAAGTGTAGCGGCGCTACTGTGGACAGACTCCGGTGGAGAGGACACCTCGGATGGTGGTTTAGATTCTTTAGGACGCTTAGATGGCTTGTTGTCCCAAACAAGTTTTTCGCCTACTTGTAGTGCTGGTCCAAGACGATTAGCTGTTTCTAGGATCTGAAATTTAACAATGTTTTGCCGGGATTGTATAATGATTATCAGAGGATTTCAGATTTAGTGATTGGATGGTTTGATTTGATTGGTTTGATTATTGATTGGCTTCGGATTGATTGATTGACGTATCAACTGGTGTATTCGTTGATTGGCTGTCTTATCAATTGATAAGTGATTGATTGATTGACTTTTTAGGTGATTGATTAATTGATTAATCGTTTGTCTTATTGATTGATGGCACGATTGTTTGATTTGCAAATGAATTAATTGACAATAGCATTAAGTCGACTGCCAGGATCATTGATTKCGACGGACCAATATATCATACAACAGCTGTACCTCTCTGTCGATRTCATTGGCCTTAGTTTCCCGGAAGGCTTCCATTTTCTTTTCGTACACTGCAAACTGTTTGGCCGCGTGTTTCTTGTCGCCCATGTTRTACAGGAATGTAGAGTAGTTGAGGCTTATACCAGGATCATCGCTGAATAACAGCAATCATAAATGGTGATATAATCAWGAAGATTTGGTATAACAGATTTGTTTATAAAAGTGGTTAAAATTGTTAGTTTACAGCTAACTGTAAACTCATGAACGAACGAACATGAACGAACAGGACGAATGGAGTAAGCCAAAGATCTCCAGTTTTTTCACTTAATGTCAAACTAGGCTGCGCGATGCATGATTATCGTAGTTCAATATCGCATCTATTAAAGTGAAGATGTATGACTAAAAACCTACATGTCTAACTGTAGCGCTTGTTCGTACGCCTGCTTGGCGTTCTCTTGGTCGTCAAGATGAGTCARGGCTATGGCAAGAAGTTGAAAAAGTTGTCCATTCTTTGGTTTTAATGTAATGGCTGCACTAAGGAAATGGAAAGCCGAGGCATATCTAGCATCACAGATAAGGTTTATAGCACACAAATACTCTGTCAGTGAACGATTTCTTCACTCAATATCTCTCGAAATGAAAAACGTAAACCAACTGAAAGTACTGCTACTGGTTGCCATWAAGCCAGTAATTTACCCTCTTTATCCCTTACTAGCAAAGCASTTAAGGATACTGTTGCATGGTTAAGTGAAGAAGTCCCAGGTTGTAGACGATATACCATTCAAAAGGTGCCATATACGCTGCTCTCTTGAGACAACTAATCGCCTGTATTAAGAWAGTATTGAAACTTTACAACAGTTCAACAARTTGATGATGAYGTTTTTGTTGTTGTTGAAACTTATGATGATGATGATATAGATGATGTCATGGATGATGGCGATGATAATGACCGGCAATAGTGATCATGTAATAATAGTACACCTAATTGAAAAAACGTAGTCATGTTCGAAAAGGTCACATCATATAGAAGCTAAGACCAAAAGGGATTTTGAGTACCACTAAATTGGGATTACATTTGCATATACGGTGTACACTAAGCAAGTAGAGCTAGTAAGATTAACAGCATGATAGTCTTTTATGCTGGAGAGCTGTTTGCTATGAAATTAGGCAAATTGTTTGTCTTCCCAAGTACCCTTTCGGTCTTAGCTTCTATGATTTGACCTTTTTGGACCCGACAATGTTTCTTAAATTAGGTGTATACATCTTATTTAGAAAACATTGTTGGGTTCAAAAAGGGTTCAAATAAGACTAATGTTATTGTTTGCCTTCCCAAGCTTCCTTTCGGTCTTAGCTTTGATGATGTTTCATTGATGAATCCAACAACGTACTTTTAATAGTCTTCTTCACGGTTCCTTGCGCCATCTTGAAAGATATCCATACCTTTGCATCGAAGCGAGACAACCGTTGAGCGTGCAATGATAGAAACCTTCTTTCAAACCTACAGACAATTATTCACAGGTTTCTATAGTATGCCCAAAGGTTGTCTCGCTTCGATGTAAGCACGGCTACCTTTCAACATGGCGCAGGTAACCATTATATTCATCAATTTCATTTGTACTTACYGCGACATACTTCTGCTTGCCAAAAAAACACATTCCAATGTTATTCCACAAATGCGGAGACTCGGGCACTTTGGAYGCAGCTATTCGATATTTCGTCAGTGCAACATCAAAGTCTCCATGGGTYTGTATCATTGAACCTGCACCAAGGATTGCCTTGACGTTGTAAGGAGAAGGGATTATTAGAATGATGAACGAAATGAGAAATGCACGAATAGGAAAATGAATAAATGGATGGATGAATGAATGAATGGAGAAATGAAAATTAAGGTTAACACGATTAGTCGGTAATCRAGCTTTGAATAAGCCGGCGTAGATACGAAAACCAATGGATGACCAAAATGCGAGTGGATGACATGAATGGATGGGAAGTGAATAATGAAATTTAATAGAATGGATAAGAGATAAGTTTGTATCAACCTTAACATTACTAGGGTCATATGTCATAGCGTTGCCTAGATGCTCAAAGGCTCTTTGAGTCATACCAATCTGTGAAGACAAGAACTGTTTAGTAAGCATGTCGATAACTAGGTGATCAAAGGAAGGAAGATAAAAGTGAATTATTAAATGGGAAAGTCCTTCCAGTCCTTTCATCATTATTATGTGTTATTGCAGTACCTCACATCGTGACAGCACCCACCTGGAGGTAAAGTAGTCCAAGAGTTGTCATTAGCTCYGGATTCTCTGGAGAAAACCTAACGAATATGGAAAAAMCATAAAACATATTAATGCCAAGACAAAAAAAAGCATTCTTAAACAAAGTAGAAGATTTTTTAGAAAAATCCCCTATGTAGATTTAGGATCGATATGTTAATTAGGTTTGTGTCAAGTCAGGCGGGTCAGKCGAGTATTATGACGTTACGCGTCAGAGCTTCAACAAGGACTTCGTGTCAAGAGGGCGCCTGTTGGACACGATCATCATGTCTTCGTACACCCTCGTGTATTTCGACTTGAGAGGACTTGGAGAAGCTAGTAGGGTCATGTTCGCGTTAGCGCGTGTTCCCTATACGGATTATAGAGTAGATTATGCCAACGAATGGCCGGTCTTTAAAAAGAGTAAGTAAAAATAKGAGATCATCGATAGTTATATTGACCTGGGATTATGCAAATCTGCATGCAGTCTAKTCACAATTAACCCAGTTGATAAAGTCTAATTGTTCTTAGTAACAARTAGCTTTAAATCGCAGTGGTATCATCCATTTGGCTTGTTCAAAACGAAAGACAATAGAATATCATTGTCCATGTAACTGAGCCTTGCGGTCAGACATMATCGAGACTTAAATTCGACACTACAGTCACTACTTAGKGTCAGGAGAATCTATCTGAGTGACGACCTGTAACKYGTACGTTCGTAGGTGGACGATGTCCTTTTGGCCAGATTCCCTTATTAGAACTTGGTGACGGAAGGACACTTTGCCAGTCAGGAGCTATTCTCAGGTTTTTGGCCAATCAATTTGGTATGGTGTCATTTTACTTGTTTTATTCTGTTTTTCTCAGTCTTAAATCCTTTTTCTACTATCTCTTTACTACTAGGTTATTCCCCGACCAATGATTATGAGCGAGCACGCGCTGACATGATTGTAGACGCTGTCAAAGACCTTCAAACCAAAGTTGGTTCTCCTTTTTATGAAAAAGACGAAAGTAAAAAAGTAATTTCTGTTTTCCAATTGATGAATTCAGTACAGTTTACCCGCGTTACATTTGCACCGATTCACTATATTTGATATTCGGCATTTATTCGGCGAGGATTCGGCATACATTCGTTAATTATGGTTTTATGAGCATAACTAAGCCATTTGTTGGTAACGAACAAAAGAACGATGGATTAATCGGACCGTCGTACCAACTATTTATTTGCCTCGCTAATCTATCACGATCTGAAATGAAAACTCTTGTGCACTGATTCTCATAGGCTGAGATGACGTCTAATATCAACAATGACTACATCCCTCCACAAATGCAATTCCTGGACAATGTTTTCCAGCAAAACAATGGTGGTAAAGGGTACTTTGTAGGAGACAAGGTTTGTTGGATGCCCTGATATTCATCTCAAACTGAARCAATAACTMAAATATCMACCCTTTAATTTCAGATAACCTATGCTGAYRTWGCTGTTTTTTGTTTTCTCAATGGCTACCTTGCTGGTGGTGCTCTAGAGGCTCCAAAAGAAATCAAAAACTATCCACTGTTGGTTGACTTCTACAATCGAGTGATGAATGAACCTAATATCTTGGAATATCTCAAGAAAAGAAAACCTAACCCTGAATGGTACCCATTCTGAATTTTTCATCCTGCTCTTTACAGACTTGTCTGTTAAAACATTGTTTGAGAAGTTTCAATAAAATAGTGTTGCACAACTGCGAAGTTATGATAATTTATAATTTTCTACGAATTCAGAGCTACAATTTTTCATGTAGAGTTAGTCCATTTTCCTCGCTCCAGTCCAGTCCTGATCTTTTCCRTGAATGTCAGTTTTGCAAACATTGTCATGGAGATTGTCAAATTTCAAAAAGATTTATGACAGCAATCTTGATGGTCTGACTGTAACGCATTCCACATTTTAAATCTCTTTTCGTGACAATCACGCCTGCCCATTTTGTCCTGATACAACGTGGATCGATCAAGACTATTCCACCATGACTTCGTATACCCTCGTTTATTTTGATTTAAGAGGACTCGGTGAAGCAAGCAGGGTTCTTTTCGCATTAGCTGGAGTTCCTTATAAAGATGAGAGAGTTCAACCGGACGACTGGCCGGCAATGAAAGCAAGTAAGTCATGCATGATGCGAAAAGTGCAAAGTCATTGGTAGCTTAGATWATCCAGCTAGACTATTGCCAAGCGCTTTGTTAGAAATATTCTAGGTACCGTATAATTCCAGCGACTCTATGCGAAGTGAAGTTTTCAACTTATTGATGGTTTTCAACCATTCCCATGAGAGTGAGCAAAACAAAAAGGTCCACCTGTCACGGTGGTGGTTTTCTGTTGTCAGGTCCACCAGCAATGGCGGACATCTTTTGTTCAACTTTCTCTCCTGGGAATGGTTGAAAACCATCAATTTGGGGTCAGTTATTCGTAAATTATACGTCATATTGTGGATAATGTAGGGGACGCTATGTAGACTAGAGTGCGAGACGAGCGACTAGCGTGCGACTATCGCGATCAAGAGTTCTAGAATTGATAAGATCCTGTAATGTGATGCAGAAGTGGAGCTCTATTTCTAAATTTGCTTATTCTCCATCATAGGTGGGAGGTGCCCACTTGGTCAGCTACCTGTGCTTGAGCTTGGAGATGGCAGAGTTCTCACACAATCAGGAGCCATTCTCAGGTTTTTAGGCAATGAGCTTGGTACGATATTTCTTCTGACTCTTCTCTTGCAATTGATGAAAAGTGAAGTAAAARTTTCTTATTTCATTGTTCCCATCCATTTATTCTACCRTCTGTTTTCATTTGTWYTTAAGGTTACAGCCCAAGCAGCAACTTTGATAAAGSYCGTGCTGATATGATTTTTGATGCTGTGAAGGACCTTCAGACGAGAATTAGTATGTCATTCTATGAAAAAGATGAAACTCGCAAGGTATGGATTCTTGTAAAAGATATATGAAAGGGAACAGYGTGTGAAAAATCTGAATAAGTTACAAAATCATTATAGTTGTGCTTTTGTATCACATAAGGCAGAGCTAAAGGCTTCCACATACAATGAATACATTCCAAAGCAGTTGGAATACTTGGAGAAGATCCTTCAGCAAAACAATGGAGGCAAAGGCTATTTTGTGGGAGATAAGGTTAGTTTGTGCATTAATTACTTGTAGACACGTTATAGCTATGATTCATGATGAGAAATAATGGTATTTCTGCAGTTTTGATYACAGCCGCTTTTCAGAGATGCCCTGTCATCACAGGAAATAGAAGTGGCTTTGAAMGAAGACTGTCTAGTATAATGTACATATGTTGTTTGTTTTTGTTTCAGATAACCTATGCTGATGTAGCTGTTTTCTGTGGTTTCAATGGSTAYCTTGGTGGTGGTGYTCTAGAGGCTCCAAAGGAAATCAAAARCTATCCACTSCTGGTTGACTTCTACAATCGAGTGATGAATGAACCTAAWATCTTGGAATATCTCAAGAAAAGAAAACAATATGATTATCCCTTTTGAAAAAGAGACTCGGCAGATAACATGTGGATAATAAAAGATTTAGCCAGTAGAGTTTGTTAGTGCATTGCAATAAAAGGACATTAGATATGGATATTGATTATTCTATTGCCTTAAAAGTAATTCTTTTCATTGCTTTTTTTTTATAAATGAATTTTAAACAAATATACAACGCCATGAAAAAAAATGATGTAGTATCAGATGCATGGTAAAAACCAATGCAAGATAAAGACAAGGGTGTTTTCCAGGCATGGATTTGACATGCAGGCATTAGACACAAAATAAAGATGAGAGTGTGACGCTGCCAATGATATATTAATATAAAAGTGTGCTCGTTCGGCGTGAGTCCGAATTGTTCAGTTCCAGTCCAGTCCTTGATTCACGATTTTACAAAGGATCGTACAGCGCTACCCTGTGCCCGCTTCAAAGAACGAATTTTTGTCGTAGAAAAATACACAACTCGGCCTCACAGCTAGTTTTTGACAAATATCAAGCCACTTTACGTAAAACGTATATTTATTTGCGGTACATGTATTGTAAGTCTGATTGCGTTACGTTTAGTTATTGCCTCCAAAAAACGATCAGTTCCGACATTTGAGACCGCGTACATCAGGCAGAGTTAAATATTTCCTCTGTCCTACTTCTAATAAGTGAGCAGCAACTATAACAGTGAAAGAGAAAGGGACGTAAAGGCAAAAGAGTCGGAGAATCTAAATTGACATGGCGTCTTATCATCTGGTATATTTCGATATGAGATCACTGGGCGAATCGACCAGGGTTATGTTTGCGTTAGCTGGAGTTCCCTATACAGAAGAAAGAATGCCATACATATATACAGGCATATACTGCGATGAGTGGCTGACCATGAAAGCTAGTAAGGGAATTGAAGCATTCACAATGCTTTCCTGTACTTTAATATATGATACTTTTCACTACCCCTCATTCCTCCAGGGCCCAGGCAATTCCTTATCCACCTCGATCAACCCCCCATCTCAACTAACAATTTGTCTGAATCGGATTATTAAAGTTGAAACTAGTCACATAGGCATAACGTAAAAATCTAATTGTAATCATTTTTTCTAGATGGTCGGAGTCCATTTGGAAAGATACCATTGTTGGAGCTTGGTGACGGCAGAGCAATCTGTCAATCAGGAGCTATTCTTAGGTTTTTAGCCAATGAATTTGGTATGTATGTAACATTA